AAGGTACTATAGAGATAGGGTTGTCAATGGATCGGATCCAACCCAACATACCTAAACTGATTGGGCCGATTCTGGTTCCAGGAATTGGAACCGACAAGCCGATTTCGGGTCCTGATATAGGGTTCCGATTACTATCGGCTCGGAATCAGGTCTAATACATATACTGAATACTTAATATATGAAACATAAATATTTATTATAATTGGGTCTATCGGGTTAGATCCGATTGTCCTGAGAACTAATCGGTTAGGTTCTATGTCCAAAACTTATAGACCTTATCGAGTCCGGTTTTGAGCCTAGGTCCTCAAAATTTCAAGTTGGGTCGGTTCCAGTTCTAGCTGATTTTGTCCCAGACACGAGCCGTTGACAACCCTATGTAAAGACAAGTTTTAAAGTTCGGATACTGACTTGACACAACCTCCAAAATTTAGGGTACTGTTTAGGAAATTTCCCTTTTTATTTGTTGGATTACTAGGTTGATGAGCTCCATCATTTGAATATGTGATAATACGTGGTCAATTGTATACAAATATGCATATATATATATATATATATATAGTGTAAAAACACATTTAATTAGAATAGATTAGTTGAACTCAATTGATAGCTTTGTTGTTGTCTAGGGAATGGAACCAATCATTTTGCCCAAGATAGCCACAAATGCAAGTGAAAATTTGAGAGATTGTGGGCCATATGCATATGATTTACCCCATTATGAGATTGTGGAAACAAGAAGACTACTAACATTAGGATATTTATTGATTTATCAAATAGTGCTTCCACACATATTTATTTTCTACACATCAACTTCAACAAGCCTTTCATCAGTTTTATGAACACAAACATCCTCGCTGAACTGCTATGTGATGAAGTGGTTTGGAAGCTTCTTTTATTTATTGCAGTTACTCTCATCGGATCTGCACATATATTCCTACAAGTAAAATCATAACATTAGGATGATAATTGTGAAAAAATAAAAACTAATATGCAACAACACCAATCAAATAAAAAGAAGCCAGTCTCCATACTTAACCTGCAGCAAAGGCATGAGCAATTCAGTCGGGATGGATGTGAAAGACAAAATCTAATTTTTGGTGGGATAGTGAATATATCGATTGATGTTGCACACTCCATATGGTAAATTATGGTTTCTTTCCATTAGCATATATCCTGAAATGCCCCAGTTAACTCCATATGAGTTCTTAATTATCCAATAATCAGTGCCAGTAGGTGAGGTCCCAAAACCCACGATCAAAACTGCATGATTGACGTTTGATGGATCGTTTGTTGGGCAGCTTAGTCCTCTGTAGATCCCCTGATTGTTAAGCACCGTAATTGATTAATCTATTATTATCGAACAAAAGTTTTCCTTAAAAAATAAGTCTATGTGCAAAGATAATGAAAACGGCATGCAAGAGTAAAGATTAGGTTATGGTACTATTGCTTTCCTCCATCTTATTATGTATTAAAATCTTCAAATTACGTGTAATGCAATAGTAACTTACTCCCTTGTAATCACTAAAATCTTGTGTAGCTAGCATCGCTGCACTAAGAGGTTGTTGAAAAACTGCACAAAGAATGGAGTTTTCATCTTGAGCAACCCATTTATATCCATTAATTGTTGCTACTTTTACCTGGCCAAAATAGATGAAAGGGGAGTTATTAACTTATCGTCTATAATTCTTTGACGTATGAGCCAAATAAAAACCACACAAAGAATAAATAGTAATGTTATTGGTTTAAAAAGGAAATTTATCTTGATTTTTAGAGTCAAACACAAAAGTGATGGTTTTTTGTTTTTTAATCTTTCATACGTATTTGACACAACAGTATAATTTCAGTAGGAAGAACGATATAGATGGTTCAAAAGAAAGCTAACCATATTGTTTTTGCAAATCCCTTTTTGTCCAATGTAAGGATAATTGGCGTCACTAGTTATACCCCCATTATTGATGACCCATTGGAAAGCCTTATATGGCCAACTTCCTCGACAACTACCGTTGGGATCACAATCCAATAGTTGTTGTTCTGAGAGACTTTTAAGGTTTTTGGTGACAATATAGTTTATTCCTTCCATTGCGCCTGTTGCTGAGAATGCCCAGCAGCTTCCTGCCAAGAATAATACATCAAAGACTAATTAACTAAGAAGAAGTGCAAGTTAAAAGTAAAACGGGAATGAAATACAATTACACTGTTAGCATTTCCGGCACCCTTCGGGAATAAAATTTAATATACATTATGCAAATGAATATACTAACCGCAAGTTCCTTGATTTTTAACCCCGGTTACAGCTCCCTGAGTTCTCCAATCAAATGTTGAGGGAGGAGTGCATGAACCCTTAACCCTCTTTTCAATTCCTTCAACCGACATGAGTTGTGTAGTATTCATTTTTGAGAGATAAATCTCACTAAACTCTTCAAAACTCATATCGGAAAACTGGGTGAGTCCCAATATATGATCTGATGGCCCTCGCTTGGAGTTCCAATCGATTATGTAAGCTAGCTTACTTTGAAATATCTTGAATCGCCTATCCTTTTCTTCTAGGCTTGCATAAGCCTTGCCATGCTTCTCCATCCATCGCTCAAAGAGTAAAGCAATTCCTTCATCTGAGACTATTTCATCAGGATCATAACCCAAAATGGAGTATTGAGTAGGAAGGCCTAAATTAAAACTAAATAGGGACAACAACACCAAGAATACAAGTATCAAGTTATTTTTCATGGCACCCATTATTGCACCTTTGTGTGGAAGTAGAATGATAATCAACCAAGAAAAGAAGACTGCTTTTTTCTTATTGAAACTATTGTTATATATAAAGCAATGAGCGTAGTAGATAGGAACCGAGAATGAGGAGAGGGGATTGGATAAACTTGATGGTTATGTTACGAGCCAATGGGACCAATAATAATGCCCCATTCAGGCCATGAATCACGTGGCAATTTACTCAACCTATATAGTTTCCATATTTTTTATTGATAAAATATAAAGGTTGGAGGTGGTATTCTATACCGTGAATTTTTGCCGATTGAATTCCACTAATTTCCAATAAAAGAATTTCACTCATAAAATCTATAACCCATAATTTGAATTGATGCTGCTAAAGATAATGGCGAGGTCAAAGTTGAAACTTCTGAAGTGATGAGGCCAAAGGTCCAATCTACAAGCACAAAAAAGACGTTTGAAGCCTTCGGGTGTGGTCTCAGGGGCGAGGTGGTAAGAGTGCCACAATAGTTAACTGTGTTAGGAAGCGTAATAGAGTTAACTGGGTAACAAGTTCCTTCTTATTGTTGAACACCTCCCTAAATTAGTGTGTTGTGCTTTCGGAAATGGGTCCGCACATCGGGTGCCATTTGAGATTAGGGTCATTAAGGCGATGACCACATGGCCAAGCGTTACTCTATCATAAATTTGTGAAGGAAGCCCGACCAAGGTCGTAATGCCTGTTCTTAAGGCCTCTCATTAAGCTAAGGAGGAAATGACCTTCTAGGGTCTGTGTTATAGCGATGTTGTCCTAATGGGAATGCCATGTCTCCTCGTACAATTGCGGTAATGGATTTGGCTATATTATTAATGATACAAAACCTATGTTTTAAAAATGGCATAGAAATGCTAGTGGTTCAACCAAAATGTCATCTAGTTGTTAACTAAAGATATATAAAGGTTGTATGTCAATAAATCCAATAATCCACCATACTTCAATAACTATTGTATTTTACTTGGGTTTTGATAAGATTACAGAAATTATTATTATTATTATTATTATTACAACTTTTGATAATATCATCATGATTACTTCAAATTGCCAATGTATAATAATAGTACTAGTAATAATAATTGTAAATTAACCATCAATACAATGATGATGATATCTAGAGAAAATTGGCGAAATTAAATATCCACATGCTTCATCATTTGATATGATGTTACATCATCAATTTCAATGATGATGTTGCATCAGCATCACTTGTTAGTTGCATCATTAGTACTACTGTTAAAGTAAGAATGGGTTTTCAATGTTTAGATTTTCACTTCACTAAAATACTTTATCTTTTCAATTGGCCCTTTCTATTGTGAAGGTCGAAAATGTAGTCTGCATTGTCACTTTTAAGTTTATATTATAGCTGCTTATTTTGACCAGTATTTAAGGTATTAGCACTTGATGACTCAATGAATCTATATTTAAGGATTTTAATTTGTTAATATTATATCTTCTTTTTTTTTACCAGTTCGCTTTTGCTTCTTATTCGTCTTATCTCTTAATACCTTTTGGAGGGATAAAGAGTATTGGATTCCCTTTTATCCTTAACGTTAATTTGCATTACATCATTATATAATGACAATAATACTCACTAATATTTAAAGAAATGCCCCAAAATGTTATTCCTTTTATGTATGCTATGGTGACCATATACAACAACAAAATAATAATAATAATAATAATTGATGCTGCACAATCCGGTCACTCTTATCTGGCACTCGCGTGGCTCCTGAGAGGTACCTGAGATGAGAGGAAAGAGGAAGAACTCCCGAGGGGTTTCTCGGCGGGAACGCTCCGATGCTTAAGTTAGTATTGTGTGCAAGAAGCGAAAGGAGAACGAAGGCTAAGAGTGAGGATAGCGCGTTACCACTATGTTCGAGAGGTCAAAGGTCTCAAGAAGAAGCTTCTCTTCTGCCCTGAGGGCTTTTATAGGGGCGCTCTTGTGAGATCGGGCATAACCGTCACTAGGCCCCTGCCACAGCCGTTACCTGTCAGGGTTGCACAGGTGGCCATTGTGATGTACTCCTTGCCCGGGTGAGTGACACGTCTCCAAAGTGACAGGCACGCCTCCGCCTGCTGAGAGACGTGGGTGCAGGCAGTCGAAAGGACAGGGACTGCGCCGTCAGTAAGGGATGTGGCGCAGTCTGATTGGTACGGCCTGTCAGATAGAAGCTTCCTGAGGAATGCTCGTGCGGCCCATTCGCGAGCTACTTTGCAGCGAGATCGGAATACTTCAGGAGTACCCTTAGTAGAATTGGTCATCGGGATGACTTGTCTGCTTGGAAGCTTGGGCGAGCTGGTTTTCTTAGCTCGCAAGCTAAAGTTACCTCGGAATATCCCTTTAGAGGTAGCTTGTGGCGAGCTTCTCCTTTTGCGCGCTACGATGTAGCGAGCTGCTTTATGGGCCCGTTACTTGGTTGTACTGGGCCACAATGCTGAGCTGTCGCTTACGCTGAGTCAGTGTCCACCTGGTACCGTTTCATAGGTTGGGTCAAATCATCCTTCATCAATTGCCCCCCACTCCTCGAGCTAAGAGTACCGCCTTAGCGCGGGGAGTTTATGAAGTGCAATGGACTGATTTGACCGAAATTCAAACTTGATTGACTATCCTCATTAAATGCATTTGCGGGAATCAAGAGATCTTCTGACTTCTCCGACTTTTCGGATTCCAAAAACGTGCTGAGGTGGCCTTTAACTCCGAACGTCGTGCGGCTGTGACTACCTTAATTATGGAAGACGTGCCGCCAATCGCCTTCAGTTTTCAGAAGGCGTGCGGTCAGGGCGCCTGCAGACCGTTGGATTTGCTTTGATCTAGGCCGTCAGTTTGAAAGGATGGAGACTATAAATAGGGGGCCCCCTGGGGCCCTATTTTCTCCCACGCCATCTTGTTGTCTTTGGATTCTGAGGTCGCGCACTTCGCCTAGTTTACCCGAGTTCCTCAGTCTGCTCCGTTCTGTCTACTCTGGTGAGTCACAATCGCTGTCAGCCATGTCGGGGTACCCATACCATATCTATCACAGGGGCGATAGCCAGGATGATGATGCTCCCTCGAGCTCGGGGGGAGCCTGGGAGCAGATCCCGGAGGCTCGGGAGGCCTCTGGCGACATGGCGTCTACTTCTAGGGGGAGGGAGCCTGATACCTTTGGCCCTTCCTTAATGACAGCGGAGAGACTCAGGTCTCT